AATACTACTTAAAAAAGGATAATCTGTTTATTACATGGAGCAGTCTCTCTTTACTGTGTCCTGCACTGAAGTTTTCAGGATATCCATTGGTCAACAGAACTGAATGTATTTAAAGAAGACTATCGTTTGGTAGATCACCCTTGAAATGTCTATTTTAGGGGACCGTTCAAATTCACTACCTTAATGGTGACTGTAGAAAAACTACCAAATGATATGATCCCTCAGTATTTGTCTTCTAAACGCCTTATTTAGATCATTTTGTTTGAAATATTTAGTGTGCCAAATTATTTCAGTAGAGTTCGACAAAAGGTACATTTACCATAATTATTTCGATGGCAATTCGTCAGTGCGTTGGTAAACAAAACGAAAAAGATCGACTGGAATCATTCGTTTCACTTGAATAGATTACGCTGATTATTAATTGATTATTAATTATTCTCTCCATACTGGAGATCAAATGGCCGGCAACTAGAAGAAAACTAGCAGCGAGAAACTCTAGCAGCTAAGCAATCAAGAGCCGATTTCTCAACAAATATGCAGAAGAAAACCGACATAGATTGGGGATACAGTGAAAACTTTGTCGAATGACAACATGCACCAGGCCATAGCTCGAGTGTAAACCAAATGGGAAACGACGGTGAGTCGTCGGTGGGAAAGTAACGTGGAGGAGATGGTATAAGAAGGTGAGAGACTATGGACAATCATGGGCCCAGCTAAAGTGGACAGTAGAAAATAGAAGAAAATAGAGGTATGTTGTTAAAGCCATATGTTCCACTCAGAACCAAAGGGAGAAACAATATAATAATAATAATATACTAACCTGAAAAGTTTCATTTAATTAGAAGTATGAACATGCAAAAAAACCAGTGTATCAACGTGCCATTTATTATTACAGTTGCAGTGATGTTTAAAACGTGACAAATACTCTTCAATTTCATGTTTAGTGGTCGCTTCATGAAGAAACACTTACCTGATGGATAAGAAAGACCTATAACATGATGAAATATTCATTTAAATTGAAGAATTAACAAAGAAAAGATTACCTCTGACTATTGGAACATTACTTAGAAGGTTTTTGAAAGGCGAAATGAGCTAGTTTCACCCTATTTTTCGTGTACACCAAGTTTGCTTTTCTGTCAAAGTACGAAGTTAGTTTTAATTTCATACATGAAGATCAAGGGAGAGAATACCTTTTTCAGGTTTCAGTTTACTATTTTCGCGAGTAATTTTTTTGAAATGAAATGGTCAGATTGACAGAGTACATTCTAAACTGTCGCTCTTATTTCCAGACTGTACCACAAGCTCAAAACTAGACAATACAAAAGAATGATAAGTTTAAAGGTGAAGTTGCCTAACTGAAAAGTATTTCAGTGACAAATTCGTAATATGATAAACGTATTTCTCTGTGAACCCCGGTAGTTGAATATGAGACTATGAAAACTGCCATTGCACCACGTGCTTTGACCAAATAGTTCTACAGTCGTTGGGTGCCGGATGAAAAGTAAACAAATGTGAAAATTTACATTTGTATAAATTTCACAGAAATCGAAATAAATAATCACAACGTCTTGTTTTGCAAACTGTCCATAACTTCTCTAGGGGAATAATCAAAATTAAAATATTTAATTGGTATTGAATTATATTTTGCTGTGAACGTATGTATGTTTCCGCTGAATTCCACTTCGGCGATCCAAAGTGATGCATCATTAAAATCGAATCGATCACTTCCAAAATTCACAGCTGAAGTAAAACCTTATCATGATTTTCATCCAAAACCCAAAACATGTGCTCTGCTTGACACGTTAACTTGTAGTCAAGAAAGCCATCGATGTAGACATATGGTGTGTACTAATGACTGATTCAGGCAGCTGGAAGCCATTCATATTAACCAGTACTGATTGCTATACCGATCTACACAGTTCAAGCACTGTAAGCAATTTCACTCTACTAAGAATGTCTCATAGATGGTGTACCCAGACAGACTCAGACCACATCAAGTGAAAACATCCAAATTCTGGTTAGCCATGTTAGCCAACTGCAGAAGAACCTAGCAGGCAGGACTTTAAGCGAAATTTCAGAAGACAAAGGTAATGAAGGTGCCTAACCAACAATAGAAACGTCAGTCACTATCAGCCGGAGAGATCTGAAGGAAGTCAATTCTTCCACTTACCTGAACAGCATTGTTTCAAATACAGTCGGAATGAATGAAGTCAAAACAGACTTTCATTCTTCTGTAATCAGTGTTGAAATCTGCTGCACTCAGCTAAAACAATAGGATTCCAGTTTTCGACACTACCGGCAAGTCAGTCAACGCCTCTATATGGTCTAGAGTCTTGACGTATCACCAAAGACATTTTGAACAGACTTTAAACTTTTATTAACAGCTACCTGCACTGATTAGATGCTGAAGATCAGGTCGCCAGCCGGAAAGGATAAGCAATAAAGAGCACTAGTAACAAATCAACCAAGAATCTTCTGTCTAAAAGATATGCCGTCCGAAAGTGAGACGGGAGCACTCGGGACCCAATGGATTAATAATAACGGTAATAATACATGCAACAACTAGTGGTGCATTCCCCTAAATCCTTCTTTTCAAATTATATTGTTCAAGGTTTCTTTTGAAAATCTAAAATATAAAGACAATGATATGATGTGATTGGTTTTCAGCTACTCAAATGAGTCAGCAGTATGTACCACCTTGGTTAGTAGATTCTTGGTTTCTTCCTTTTTCGGTTCTTTTGCTTGATTCAGCTGCAGTTATCTACCTGACTGAAAGGGCCGTCGTTACACTTTCTTTGACTTCCGATTCTAGTTGTAGTTAAAGAAATGCCATATGTTGATTCCGATAAATAGTTCAATGAGCTTCCCTCTCTGTTTTACTTTTTTTGTTTACTTTTGAACAAAAATAATTCTTAAAATAATTCTTCCTTAAGTATGATTGGTATGATTAGTTCATGTAATCTTTTATTTCGTAAATATGATTTTCAGAATTTCGCTCAGGTGATTTAGCTCCTTGCCTCCAAACTGCTAGTGAACTTTCAAAATTTATAACTACTTAAACATTGATAATATGATTCCTGGCTACATCCTCTTAAGTAGAAGGCTGTTCATGCTTGTAGCACAATTTTTCAAATGTGTGCGAATTCACACTCGTTAATATAATGAAGTTAATCAACACAGTGTCAAAGAAGTGCGTTTTGTTTTGTCCACTTGCTTGTTTGCCGAATAATTTCTCATTCAAATCCTATTCGCGTCAGTTGTTAAGGTGATTCTATGCCAAAATCTGTTATTCCCATAATTCAAAAAGCAGTTTGCTCTTCCGAAAAACAAAATTCATGACTCTAAAGTTCATGCAAAGAAAATGATATTTCAAAACCTTCCTACCTCAAGAATATTAAGATGCAATGGTCATCTAAACTTTACACTTTTATTAAACTCACATTTCGTAGTAATAAATGACATTTAGTTGTCTAGTCCTACTGGAAAGTTACCTCTGTTTGCTTTTTTATTATTATAATACCAGTTAATTAAGACTTAGTATATATAGGTGTGACTAATGCTTATCCTGTAACTTATCCAATAGTTAATCAGAATCTCTTGTATGTTAGTCGGCTACACCAACCACTCTTCCGCATCCCAAAGAAGATATAGTTTATTCTGATAACATGAAAATTAAGTGGATGAAGGACTATGAATATATGTGTAAAACTTGGGCACTGTGGTAGTAAGTAATTCCGTATTAGTTTTTTCATTAGATATATCACACAGTCAAACAGTATTATTATTTACTGGATGACGTTTCGAACACAATTTATTGTTCACTATCATTTCAATTGTAATCACACAACTTCGAAACTTGAGTTTTATAGTTTTCTTTGTTTTCTTCTATTTGTCGTCGTAGGGGTAGAAGAATTTTACAGATATCTGGGTGGAGAGGTGTTGAGTCATTCCTATTACATGTATTTGCAGTTGATTCGATAAACAATGCTTCTGCTACCAATCTCTCCCTGCCTACACCCTGTGACATTAGATTTTAAAAATGTCATCCTATCCCATCCAGCCTATTGTATGGTTGTGTGTAATTGCATTTAGTGATTGCTATAGGTGAACTAAGGAATCTAAATCATCAGTAGTAATTCCATACAAGGAAGGAACCTGGGAAACCTTACGCAGAATTCTTAACAAGTCAGGAATAAAAGTGGCTGACATTCAAACCACCCACAAACTCAATTAGAAACAAGCTTTGTCCGTTGAAGGATCAATCCTGTGGAGCCTTTTGAACAAAACAATTTAGTTTATCTAATATCCCGCCCGTGATGATTGTCAGGTCGAATACATAGGTCAAACTAGTAGAACACGGGCAGTGAGTCAGACTGGCCGAACATAAAAGCCTAGCAACATCTAGATTGGTTGACCCGAATAAGATAAGAAATCAAGAGAATAGTTCAGCTATACCACTCACTACTTGAAGTTACACACAATTGTACAATAGGCTGGATGGGATAGATGACATTTTTAAAATCTAATGTCACAGGGTGTAGGCAGGGAGAGATTGATAGCAGAAGCTTTGTTTATCGAATCAACTGCAAATACATGTAATAGGAATGATTCAACACCTATCCCAGATATCTGGAAAATTCTACTACCCCAATGACAAATAGAGAAACAAAGAAAACTATAAAACTCAAGTTTCGAAGTTGTGTGATTACAATTGAAATGATAGTGAACAATAAATTTTGTTCGAAACGTCATCCAGTAAATATAATACTGTTTCATTGTGTGATATATCTAATAAACAAACTAATATGGATGAAGGACTTTTGCCTGATTTTTGTAGTCTTGACATACTGAATAATATCACTCCATGTGGTGTTGCTTTTCTGAATTATACATAATAAATCAACTAGTACTACTTATATATTGAAAAGTAATTATTATTTTTTCCGGATGTTTGACAATGTCATAATTCGTTCATATGCATATTGTTAATTCAAAAACTATCGTCAATGTGACTGCCATTATGTAGGTGTCTTTGCACTGTAGGAAAATAAAGAAGTATTTTGAGTAAAAATTGGTTGAAGATAGTTCACTTTTCTGCTATTAACGAATGTTTATCTTTCACATTATACACAGGAATATATTGGATAACATAATTCACATGGAATACACATGTGACTGGCCATATTATATACATTTTTATATATATACATATGTATATATATGCATGCACATAAATACTGACTGAATTAAAATTAACAATCACATCATTTATATATATTAAATGTTCGACAGACAAGTTATATACACAATTCAAAAAAAAAAACTGAAGTTACATACCTGCCCTAGAAAGATTCATTCCATTGATTTTTCTTAATTATTGTGAGATCCACAGTGAAGTCACTGCACAACTATGCTAAGATGCTGCAGTATATTTAGTTCAAAGAATACATTTTTGATAATATTAGCCTCATTACTCATTCCATTGTATATATCTTTAGAATTGTGCTTCTTCATATCTGATCAGTATGTCTTTTACAGGTGAGTTCGATCAATTTTATGTATCTTTGCCTTTAAAATACTAAGCTTTTTGCAATTGGTAGTTTGTATTTAACTACTATTTACTAATCCAACACTAATAAAATGTTTTGATGAGTACATTAGATACGGATTAAATGTTTTGTTGAACAGATTTTAGACTAACCAATTTTTAACCTGTTCAAAGATGTACAGAATGAACAATGGGCTTTTGACCTCACCCATTATTGTCTTCGTAAAAATGGGCTATCTGATTTTAATAAATTTAACCTGGAACATTTAGATTTCCTCTTAAATTCATCTACAACAAAACTTATTATTCATGTTAATTTAATTTAATAAAGTGATTTTTAGTTTTTTCCACTTTTAAGAAAGAATTTATCAGTAAGTAGTCATGATGGTGAGTTTTAGTAGCGCCACTAGTTAATTAATCTCAAGATTGTTTTGAAATATAGAAGTCACAGAACAGTCACTGCATTCTAAGTTCACATTTCTGGGTAGTGCATCAATAAACAACATCCCTTACTACATTCCATATCCATATATCATGCCTTCATTTATTATAAATTCTAATGTCCAGTGTACTACCTTTTTCACTCTTTCAGTTCTCAGTGGAACATACGACTTAGAGATATTGAAGTTTCAGTAGAGATGGTTGTATTTATGAAGGGTTGGCATCGTTAGCTCCAAGGTCAACTTCACCTAATTTTTCGGACTTACTGTCAGCTGGTAAACTAGATCAAGCTGGGGATTAAGCCTTTACCAAATGTGTAGCTGGCCGGTAATTCTACCGTTAAGCCACTAACGTATCCAGCTTACTTTTAAGAGCTAATATTTAACACACTTTTTTTATTTTCCTTCACGTTCCTCAGTGGAACACGGGGCTTCAAGCTAGTGGCTTGAAGTTTCTGTAGCAGTGTTTATTTTACAGGATGGGGTTGCTAGCCTCATGTCCAACCTTTCCTCTTTACCAGCATTATTTGTGACTTAGCGAGGTAAAAGAGTGCGTCGGCCGAGGATCGAACCTCGGACCATGTGTATGGTCGGTGAACAATGAATATTTGATTGAATATAGTTGAAAAAAGCCATCAAAACTTCGAGTTATCTACGTTACTTCATCCATGACGTAGAGAATGTTCACTTCTCATATACATTTCTTGCACCACTAGTTTTCATATCAGTTAGTAATTGAAATGATCTTCGTTTACTGGTTATCTTCGTAAAATGTACAGAATGCCGTGTCGATCATAATCAATATTATTTTCACTAAATTTCTGCATAACCAACCATGATGTAAATATTTACAGTAGTAAAGGTGAATCACAGTCAGTTCATTAGTGTGGGAAACGTTCAGTTTTAATTGAAAATACTCGATACATTTAGTGAATGATTCTAAATTTATCTCAGTTCATAGACCAAAATAACAACAACAACAACATTGCAAGTTGTTCCAAAATCCAGTTGAAAAGCACAAATAATACCAGATGAACTGTTTGAAGTTTAGAAGATAAATGAACCTGACCTTTTGAAACATAATGAATTCATCTGTGTGGATTGTAACGTGAATAGCCTTCATAAAACCAATATGAAAGAACTGTTAGCAGTTTTGTTTACTGTGTTAAAGAAATCAAATTTTGATAGTTTAGTCTTAGTTGTGATCAATACAATTACTAGAAAACTTTATCTCTATTTATCCCAAAATGTTAGACTGAGAAATTGTCAGAAATCATAAAAACAGTAAAATGGTTTCTCTACCCTAACTTTCTTGCCATCGGTTTCGAAGGTGCTCCACCGCTTATTTACTGTTCACTAACCAGATGCAGGTAGTAAAAACATTACGATACTATTTCGTTCGCTTGGAGTTAAGTCACAGATGGTGTAGTCAGATTCTTTAACCTCAAATATGAGAAGAGCGTAATTGAAAATTCTGAAACTATATAAGGATATGTTCGGCATGTATATCTAGTCAACAAACACACATATTGAAAACTTTAACAAATTAATATGAGAAAATAACAGAACACATAGAATAAAGTGTATGATCAAACTCTCAAAGAGGAAATCAAGCCAGAGTGTGAAGAAAGTGCTCTGGAAAGGATTAAAATTCACTGTATCAGTTAATGAGCTAAAGTCTCAGTATTTTATTCCTAGCATAGAGATAGCAGGGGTCGATGGCGCCGCGATAGAATGCTCGTCAACCATGCATATGGTCCGGGATTCGATCCCCGGCCACCGACGCACTCCTCCGCCTCGCTAAGCTAGTAATAAGACTGGTAAAGAGGGAAGGTCAGGCATGAGGCTAGCAACTCCATCCTGTGAAAATAATCACCACTGCTACAGAAACTTCAAGCCTCTAGCTTGAAGCCCTATGTCCTACTGGGAAAGTACATGAGTGAAAAAATAGAGATAGCATTAAATTCAATGGATAAGACAACAGCTGAAAAGGTTCGAGCACAATGTGCATAAGAATTGAAACAGCAGAACAAATAGAAGCAAAACCTAACGAAATCAGACAGACTAACTCTGGTGAATCTACAAACTTATAAGAGCATAGTCGTTGCGAAGGCAGATACCAGTAACGCTACAGTAGTTATGGATAAATCCGACTACATCAGGAAAGTCATTGAATATTTTACAACAGGTCCGTGTAAGGAAATTAAGAACTGTAAATACAGTGATGAAATCCACATTGGATTTAGTACATGGATTGAAGACATCCCTTGGAGGGTCTAAATGATTTATAGCTAACTTACCCATTATCTGTAAAGACAGGTGAGAACTCTAAGTAGCAAATCAGAACACTTAAATAATGAAATATCAAAGATGGGTAAAGCATTGATGCTAAATAACTATTCAATACAATCCACTAGAAAGTTAAGAAACGCCTGCAGTAAAGGCAAAAATGGCAGCGGAACTATTCACGATAAAACAAATGAGACAGAACTTAAGGTAGGTAACTTAAATTAGCTTCTTAATACAGCAGGGTGGGCATTTGAACTTAAAAATCCATTCAGAGACAAGCTATGTAGACTAAAACACAATTAGACAAAAGAATTTAATTCACGAAATACGTTGTAATGAATATAAGGTCGACTACATAGGTCACAGCAGTAGATCAGTGTCAGTCATGTTATCGGAGCAGAGGAATTTGCCCGAGTGTAGAATGTTTGACCAAATGAAGGTGAGTGGCTTAGAGAAAAACTAGAGAATCGCAATACATGCACTCATATACAATCACATAGTGTGGTGGAACACGGCTACAGTTCTAAAAGATGATATAATTAGGTGGAGGATATCTTGATCACTGTATCTTTGTTAATTGGATCCATACCTAACACGTGCTATAGGCAATAACTCAGTTAAAATGCGAGAGGTATGGAAAAAGAATACTACCAATAAAATTAAAAGATAAGAAATATTTGGAATTACTTAAACGAAATCGAAAAGTTACATTAGTGCCTTGATGTAATTATGAGTAATAAATTGTGCTCAAAACGTCATCACTCTACCATTGTGTGTTTTTATCAAGTAAAACTAATCAATGAAAGGATCATTCCTTACCACAGTACCAGAATCGTATGATTATGTCATTGAGGCATACATTAAATCTTTTTGAAGATAAAACATTTATAGGCGTCATAGATTGCGCGACGTATAGAAAATGAAATGATGATAAATGTCTACCTTTTTTCAGTTAAAAAAAAACACTGAATAAATTGTTGTCAATAGCTTTATCCGTGGATAAAACGTTCTGTTTTCACTACTTTATGATTAAGAAAATAAATGTAGTCCACATGTGTATCATTAGCGTTTTTCTCAACTACAACTGATTACGACACATAACTGCCACATAAAATTAAAACCACAATATGCAGATAACTGCATCTAGTATGATATTGCCAGTATACAAAGATTCAGTCGACAATTTCTGAACAAGGTTGAGTTCCCACTTTGCTACAAATCACTAGAATGCCGTGCAGTAAACAACGAAGTTTTCACCAAGTGATGTATAACCAACAAACTGCTGAGCAATCAAAAGCGGGCATTCAAAACTGCATTCGGTTACCTTATAGCTGAAATGAAACTAATTACCGTGAAACCACAAACCTACTGAAGAAATATGCTCTATTTCAACCAGCTCCTGATCATCTACTCTGCATTAATATATGGATTTTCACAACAAAATTGTACTAATCATGTGGTTATTTTACTCCATAAGAATTATCAACTTTTGGTGAATCGACAGGGGGAGCGGGGGGCGGAAATAATAAATTAACAGTCATCAAAATAATTAACTGGTCGATGTTATCGACAAGATATCTAAGATTCCAGGGTGGCGGAAAATAATAACCAAATTCAATACAAGTTAATTTTCAGGGGTTAGCGACAAGTTATTATATAATAAAGAAATTTGTAAAGTTGGTTGGAGGATTTCATCATCATGAGCTAACATCACTTAGATAACCAGTGGAAAACCTGGGACTACTGGACAGCCGTTTTGTCCTAGTTTGGGACTCTTCAGAACTAACCCTACATTTTCCAATGGTTCTCTAACTGATGTCAGCTCATGATGAAATCCTCCAACCAATCAAACAAAATCCCCACAAAAACCAACACTTGAAAACGTGTAAAATACTGATGGCTAAGAAGAAGAAGAGAATGACTCAGTGGAACCACGTAAGATACAGACAAGTTAATCGAATTAGCTAGAGTCATGATTATAATAAAATAAAAAGAAAGTGGAAAGATAGTTAAAAGGAGAGAACTAAATAATGTATAGCACTTAATGCATATTATGTAGTTGGTCATGGCAAACAAAGGGAATGCACAAATTTATTTTGAGCACTCTGAATCGGCTTGTTCACGTGATTTCCGATTGTCTTTGGTGTGTGTAATAGTGGTACTAGTAGAGCGGGCGAAAGATTGGGTGAAATATCACAAATATGTCCTTGGTAGTGACAGCTTATTGTCCAGTCTCGGCGAGATGAGCTAGGATTGAGCTGCGTGTAACTTTGCTAGAGCCATTGCAAAAGTCAAGATTCGAGTTGATTAGACATTTGACGATGAAGCTGCCTGATAGTATGCCCAATGTTACTAGCTCTTTGATGGCAGTCAAACTGGTAAATACATATGGAGGATGCGAACAAAGACTTTACCAGGCATCAAACCTAGGACATTTAGCGTACAAGTACAGTACATTTAAGAGTGACCTATGAGATCTAACTTCTGTCATTTCATCATTGGATGCCAATACGACGACTCAATAGTCAAAGTCCTTGTCAGTAGCATCGCGAAGTTCAGTTTTAGTGAGGTGAGTTAGTATTTAGTTGACTAAAGTTATATGAGGACTGTGACAAAGCGTTGAATGTAATTTATCATATTTCGCATAACCTTTCGTATACTCTACTAGTACCACTATTACACACAGCAAAGACAATCGGAAATCACCTGAACAAGCCGATTCAGAGTGCTCAAAATAAATTTGTGCATTCCCTTTGTTTGCCATGACCAACTACATAATATGCATTAAGTGCTATACATTATTTAGTTCTCTCCTTTTAACTATCTTTCCACTTTCTTTTTATTTTATTATAATCATGACTCTAGCTAATTCGATTAACTTGTCTGTATCTTACGTGGTTCCACTGAGTCATTCTCTTCTTCTTCTTAGCCATCAGTATTTTACACGTTTTCAAGTGTTGGTTTTTGTGGGGATTTTGTTTGATTGGTTGGAGGATTTCATCATGAGCTGGCTGACATCAGTTAGGGAACCATTGGAAAATGTAGGGTTAGTTCTGAAGAGTCCCAAACTAGGACAAAACGGCTGTCCAGTAGTCCCAGGTTTTCCACTGGTTATCTAAGTGATGTTAGCTCATGATGATGAAATCCTCCAACCAACTTTACAAATTTCTTTATTATATAATAACTTGTCGCTAACCCCTGAAAATTAACTTGTATTGAATTTGGTTATTATTTTCCGCCACCCTGGAATCTTAGATATCTTGTCGATAACATCGACCAGTTAATTATTTTGATGACTGTTAATTTATTATTTCCGCCCCCCGCTCCCCCTGTCGATTCACCAAAAGTTGATAATTCTTATGGAGTAAAATAACCACATGATTAGTACAATTTTGTTGTGAAAATCCATATATTAATGCAGAGTAGATGATCAGGAGCTGGTTAGAATTAAGTAAATTATTTGCTAAATTTGTTCATTTTTCCAAGTCATGAGAAAATTTTGAGATTCCTAAATGTTTTTTTTTTTCGAAAAATGCCCATTTTGACACCTAAGAAATCAAAGCAAATGATTCAGCGAAGAGAATATCTTCAAAGAATTTCTTATGATTTGGGTACAACTGTATGTATATGGTTTTTTCAAGATATGTCTAGTGAAGGAATTGAATCAAAGGTGTGAATACGTGAAATAATAATATGAAATTTAATTAAAATATTTATGATTAGAATCATAGTAAAATATCATGTGGATGAACATTTAATGTTATATACAGAACAATTCATAAGATGTATAGGTGTTGGAAAGGATGTAAAATTTTAGGATTAGTTGGCAGCTTTTCAGGTTATGTAACACTGTGTGAAATTGGATAATATCGAATTTAACGTTGCAATACAAAACTGATTAAATATGACAAACGGGACTAGTCAATCAATACCAGGGATAACGCAAAATAAGGTTAACAATAGTAACAATTGGTATAATCACGGACAAGTATACTTACTGAAAAGACTAAACGAAAAATGGGACCATCCCACCTTAGCATTGAGGGACTAAGACCGTGAAAGTTTTACACCCCCTTCTAACATCTATACATCCTGTGAATTGTCGTATATATTGGATTAATTGTTTCGCCACTTGGAACTTAATAATAATTATAACTACAAACATTCCAATTACATTCCATTGTATTATTACTTTAAGTATTTTTATTGCCATGGAGTCAAATTGTCGGAGACAATATTACCAACGCCCCATAATAGTAGGCTATTTGAAATAAATCTCAGAGAGACTTCTGCTCTGCATGATCTAGGAAACTGCATGGTCAAAATAAGTGACAGGTAGAAAGTAATTAGGTTACTATGGTGAGAACATGTATAATGAAAATACCGTAAACGAATTCCTACAGGTGAAGTAATTATGTACAGTTGTCGCAATACAAGTACGGAGTAAATTACATTTCATTAAATAAAGTAGTGAAATATGTTTGTTGAATTGCTGCACTGTCTTGCATATTGTTTCTTGATACTGAAAAATTACATCTTATTCCTATTTTAGATGTACAGTAGATGAAGGTTTGCTATATGAATACAAGGATGGAAAGTTTGCACTGAATGCAGTGTAAGTCTACTTTTTTCCTTTCAATGTTTTTTCACAGAAGTTCTAAAGCCTTTAAGCAAACTGTTTCACAACACGCTTTATTTAACCTACAGAACAAAAATATTCAAACATTGTGGTTATGAAGTTATCTTTCTTTAGAATGGTGTCTTTTCGAATCTTTTCACATTAGATTTGTCTCACTTAGTTTTCAGTATTCTCATAGCTTGAAAAGAAGTTTGAGTTACGCAACCCCTTTAAAAGACCCCTGAGAAAGTGATTTATGTAGTTAGATAGAAACGCTGTTTATCATCCATCTGTGTTCTGCTTCAGGATTCCAATAATTCACTTATTGTTATATGTAAATACACATGTATTATTCGACAACTTGATAGACATGAAACAGAACAAATTAAATGTATAACATTTTTTGAACATTTTGAGTTAACCAACAAACTTATGTACAAGCTATTACAAAGGAAATCATTGAGGTTAGCTGGTTGGAGGAAATAAGTGAACTGTCGTACCAGTAAGTTTCATGCGTATGTGCACTTATCATTGAGGTGTGACTACAACAGCAAAGGAAGCGATGTCCCTTCAAAAATTTCATCCGTTTTAAGCAATTCTGCAGTCAGAGACGTTACCTATAATCTATTTTGCGTTACCATTGACCTTCTAATGGCTTGTGATGAATACAGTGATTAAATATTGAACCACCGTTATTATTTTAAGTAAGTGAAGTTTTTCTTAGGCTAATGCATACAGAAAGTATTTATTTCTCCTGAAAGCGTAATGTTCTCTCAGATTTAATCATTTATTTCGCAGAAGGTAAAGGATCCCTGATTGAACTAATGAGATAGATGATAATCACTTCAGAACGTTTGTTTGACGCTTTTTTTATCAACAAGTTTCATATAACGGGATGAGACATGTTGGGCCGTGTTCCTGGTCTGGAAACATCACGTTTTGTTTCACAAAGCATTGGAATCATTAATGCTGGACTTTGTACTCTAACAATAGCCATTCTTCTGCTTCTATTCGAAGGGTATGCAGGCCAAGAAACGTAATTCTATTAAATACTGTAAAACAGAATTAGAGAATACTAGCATTATACATTTGTTGAGATTGCGTCATCTTGCAATTTCAGTCATACTTCGTGCTACATGAGAAATAGTAATATGGAAAATGATGTTTACGGAATTCATTGTTATGCAAATCACTTACTATAAAGAAGTTGAGTTATATTGAAAAAATAGTTAGAAGATGTTACGATCACTGGGAAGAATCTTTAACAGAATGAATATCCCAGTTTGTTTGTGACTTGCATATGAAATATTAATCTGAGTCAAATAAAAACTAATAGTGCATTGAAAAGATTCTTTCTGGCATCCAAAGTGATGTCGTTTTATAATACACAGTGCTCAATTACCCAAAAAAGGGTAGACAAATATCCTGCTTATGTGAAATTTGATTTCATTTACCAATTTATTTTACACAAAAAGGAACTATAAAAGGTGATGTGCTAGGTTTTCTGACTGTATCCCAAATAGTCTGCATCTGTCAAATAGGACGGTATTTAAAGGTGCAATCGCAAAACACAATACTGACACAAAACATGCAGTCTACGTTATTCAGACATTTATGATAGTCAGTGTACACAGAAAAACTTTGTAGATGCGTTTTGATGAAGATATTACTAATGAACAATTAAAAATTAATCTCTGCATACAGAAAGACAGTTTGATTAACCTCACCCTCCCCAGTATGTCGGAATGACATATCTTTCGTTTTGTAGCTTGAAGAAAAGATGGTGGCACAGTGGTTAGGACTCTCGCCGACCATGCACATGGTCCGGGGTTCGAGCCCACGCCGGCGCACACCTCATATCTATGGTCGGCCTGCAAAATTTGGGCTACCGATATCCATGCTGAAAATTCCATACTTGTACCAAAAATACAGCGTGGAATCAAGCTGTAAATAAAAAATAAAAAAAATAAAAATAAATTATGCTGATGGTATTAAATGTTTAATTGTGGAATATATATATATATATATATATATATATATATTTATATATATGTATATAATGGAAGTAGAAAAGTATTTCTTTCCATGAGTTTTACCTATATGGCTAATGAACCTTCAGTTTAGACTATTCAGCCTAACACATATTCCACACCTCTTCTTCTACGCACAGTAAATTTTACCAAGTGTAAGTTTGTAGGGATCTTATTGGTGTCTTTAGAGGCTAAGGGTCTTGACATTCACGGATAGTACGATGTATGCTAACACAAGATCTTATATTCACGACTCCTATAGTATTTGTTCATAGTAGGCCAAAGATAAAGCAAAACACCAAATTGATCGTAGAAATTATGAAGTATATTTCGAGACCAAGGTCGTAGTGCAAGGATGATTGCTTAACTAGCCAGGTATCGTGAACGAACAACCAAACTTAGCACGATGGTGCGCCTAGTGGCGTGGCTGTCAGCCTTTCAGCTAAACAAGTCGACATAAACAGTAGGGGTCAGCATCCAATTTTGAGTGATGAATGCTGTGACTAACAATTCTGAGGTTGCTGGACTGCTGTTTCGTCCTTTGTTCGGGACTTATACGCCCATGATCCCACTAGGGATTGGACCCAGGACCCTCAGGTTACGAGGAGAGCTTGTTAAACACTTAGCCATTGGGACAGAATCTAACGGCATATTAATTCATACATGCTCCTTATATCACTCTTTTCATAGCGAGAATAACAAGATTTTCGATGCAAAAATATGTCCTTAAAGGCTGAGTTAACATCAATCTTATGGTTCATCTCGATTAGATGTTTAGCTATAGACGAATTTGGTAGTCTGCCACCTGCATCTATTAGCTTGTCACAATTCATCTGTTTTTCTAACCATTTTGGGATATGCTCTCCCACCCTCACGTGCAAAGCGCGATTACTCCTCCCTATGTATGTATGTCCACACACACACGAAAATTGGTAAATTGTATGGGATGTGATATAATCACTTGTGCACTTTTGGGGTTTACAGTGAAGCATATTTTTGGCTTTTTCCACAATTACAAGCTGGGCAGCATAGTAGGTCCTACGGATGATTGAATTCAACCTTTGTCTCACAATCCTACTGTTTATTTCCCCGTTATATGGTAATTTGATAAAAACCTTTTTCTTAGGGACGGTATGGATTGTAGGTTTAGAGGCTAGTTGACTTCTACACCTGTTTAAAAATTTCAAAGGATATCCGTTTTCAACAAGAGTATCCATTAATATTTCGTTTTCTCTGTCCATAACATCAGCCGTGCAAATACGCTGAATCCTCTTGAATAGGCACTTCACCAAGCCCCTCTTATACTGTAATTGTGACAAGCTAATAGATGCAGGTGGCAGACTACCAAATTCGTCTATAGCTAAACATCTAATCGAGATGAACCATAAGATTGATGTTAACTCAGCCTTTAAGGTCATCTATAAAAACGGTCAAGGGCGTTTATTGAAATACGCTGAGGCTATAGCTATTCATAGACTTAAGCCCCCCTTGTGTACGCAAAAATATGTATTTAATCTTGTGACTTTTTTACAGCTTCAAAAAGCTTAAAATATGTATAGCGTCAATAAAATAAGAAAATACTCTCGAGACCTGTATTTTCTGTTGACTATATTTATATATATACACATACATCATTCAATTAAATTACTTCATCTCATTTTGCCCCATGTCCTCATTGACCATGCATATTAAAAAACCATATGACTATTGTTTCATCCCATCTTATACTTGTTCCACAATACACTTTCTGATATGATTCTAATTTGCCTTTACCGGCTATTGTATGCTTAAATTAATGGATTTATAATTGTAGAGCCTGAAGAAGAATTTATTGAAAACAACAATGGTTCGCTCTAAATATTTTGTTCTAAATACTTTTTTGTTGACCAAAAACTAGACATGTAAATCAAAAAAATTTCCGTAGATAGGTGACAACAAAACAGTATTTTTAGCAACACACACAAAGAAAGTCGTCTAATAAAACACAAGAAAGCACTCAGAATAAATACGAAATTCAAAAAGTCAGTTAAGATTGGTGGATCAAAATGTCAATATTCGACAATGGAATACACAGATGTGTAACACTTTGAATAGTTGGTGCCAGACAATCAGAAATTACTCACTGTTTCCTTTCATTTACGAAAGTCGGGTTGAAGTAACTTGATAGTGACCGACTCGCCAAAACGAAGTTAATTTGGATATTTTTATCTGTCGATAATGGTAAAGGCAGTGGGAATATCGGCATTTGTGTTCCTGTTCGGTTAAATGTCAGTTCACTGTGCTGACGAGGATATCAAAGCAAGAATCGGAAAAGCAAGACAAGCTTTCTTTACTCTCAAATCTGTGTGGAGGTAGGTCAACAGCTTTCAGCATCAAAAATAAGATCCGGATTTTCAACTCCAATTTGAAGTCAGTGCTACTATACGGATCAGAGATTAGGCGACGGGTCATGAAGAGCAACTCAAACAAACTTCAGACCTTCATCAACAGTTGTCTTCGCTCAGTATTTCTCTCAGTATCAGATAGCTGGCTAGAAAAGTCCAGCAACAGAGATCTCTGGCGATCAGCGAACCAACACAGCAGGAACCATTTGTGCAACAAATATGCTGGAGGAAGTGGAGTTGGATTAGCCATACTCTGAGAAAATCATCAAGTGAGCGACATCACTAAACAGGCCATTGCTCGAGTTGAACCTGAATTGGAAGCGGAGAGTTGGTCGTCAGTGCGAGGGTGGCATGAAGGCGGTGATGTGAAGAGGGGATGAAAGCACGTGGGCAGACGTGGAGCCAGGTGAAAACGTTGGCAGCGGACCGAATGCAATGGACACGTGCAGCTGAAGCCCTATGTTCCTTTAGGAATTAAAGGATATAATAATGATGACTGTGCCAGTAGAAGACTGGGAACAACTCAGTCTTGAGCATTTGGAAATATTTTCAGTGAATCCAATAGGTGATCATCTTTCTGTCATTCCAGTTTACCTTTTCTAAGACGCATACATGAATTTTGCACACATAGTTGGAGGTGACTTCTTACATGTATATATTAAAACTTGATAAATCGATGAGGAAAGTAGTGTGACAAACATGAAGAAGTTTAGTTACCAAAACACTTCTAACAACAGCAGCTCTAGTAAATATCCAAACCATAAATGTCGCTAATTTTCTGTAATAACTGTTAATTTCTGCTTATTTGTTGTGACATTTAATTTTCTTTCGAATTTTAACTGGATGACGGCAGGATTCCATTTGACTGTGGTGACGTTCTTTTCATTTTTTTATAAATTTCTTAGGATACTCGTTTTCTTGGACCACTGTGGGTTGAATATAAGACAATAATATATCGTTTTTAGTTTCATAGTTTACAGATGGGCATCTATTTGTATATATGTATATGTGTTTTGTCTTCTACAGGGTAACAAGCGTGTTACTATTCAGTCCTACTAATATATCGTATTTCACAAATAAGCATTATAACTACTGAATGCTTACTCTTGCTTTTTACTTTATTTCTTCTTAGTAATAAAACAGATGAAACACTACTAAAGCAAGGACAACGTAGGGCAGCTTGGATTGGCGCTTGCAATCATTCAGTTAGACTGATACTGGGTCTATTAACAACAATGGTAATGGGCTATATTTCTGATCGTTTCGGCCGTCGTATTGCTCTGGGCACGATGATAGTTGGAGAAACATTACAAATAATTGCTTTAAGTACGCGTTAAGAAATCTTCAGTTTTTCAAGCAACAGTCAATGCATTAAAGCTTCTCTTATGATTATCTGAATTCCACTGTGTTAATACCTTAAATGGTTCCTTCTATAACAAACCTATAATTACTATCCATCCTCTGAGTTCCGAGTGGAACAGAGAACTTCTGAAGCATATTTCCATTTCACCTAATCCTCTCTTATCGTTTCCAGCCATCTCCACAATTGTTCAGAAGCTTTCATTTCTTCTTCACATGATCTCCTCCAAGTCATGTCTGACACCTGATTGCCTACAAAGTATGTGATGTCACTTAAATACCTCCCCAGACTATGTACAACCCATCTTCATTTACTGCTACATATTTTCTGGATGATAGGTTATGGGCCAATTCGCCCTACTCCCAGAGTTCCTTCTTATTTGCCTATCCTTCTTAGCCAGCCATTTGATTTTCAAGACCGTTTAAGGCAGTTTTTGATAATAGTCTGTGGTATCCTATTGGAAACACCTTAAGTAATGTGCTTGCCAAGTATGTGAATCACTAACCTTACATTTGTGTTGGTCTTATTCGTTCTCATGAATGTCGTAGATACATAAACTGGTTTCAAAGCAATCCTGGTCAAACAGTGGTCAAAATATCGATATATTGTCCGAATAATAGTTAGCTTGGAAAAATATTATTTAAATAATATGAAAATATTAGCCAAACTTCAATCACACAATGGTTAAAATAGGAAAAATTATGTTGTATAACCAAAATTCGCATATTTGAATTACTGTCGGTCAGGCCCATTATTCACCATTTTTCTACTGTTTTCGTCAGTTTGGATTCACCACCACTGTCTTGTCCGTGTTCACTTGTAGCCTTATCTTCACCACATTTCCCATTAGTTTGTTGACATTCACTCTTAAACCTGCGAGTTCGTGTGACATGAAACATAAATTATCAGCAAGATCCAGATCTCCAGGGTTCTTTTTGCCAGCCTAATAAACGCCTTACTCCACTCTAACATAATGATCATAGTAGACAACTTTTTTCTTACTCTTGTTTTCATTCCAGAAGCTTTACTGAGCTTTCCGTTGTGAATCATTTTGACTTGCCAATTAACGAGGTTTATAAACGTTTGTTGCATTGTGTTGAAGCAGTTGACAAATTACTTCTTGGTCGATGCTGTTGTAAGCGTTTTCAGAGTCGACGAAGTTGATCCAGAGTCAACTGCCATTGTAAGCTCTGTCCGATGATTATGCGGAGTGTTGCAGTCCAGCTGGCTCATTATTTTCTTTTCTGAAGTCTAGTTTGTTCTGCATGAAGTCTTTCATGGGTTATATAGCTTAATATTTAGCTTGGAGTTGGCATGAACAAAATATTGCATGTTAATCATACATTTTCAAAATAATATTGCATCTGGAAGACTAAACTATCTCAATTTATTTTGCAACTCTTTCGCAGAAATACATATCTTTTTGCACCAAAGTATCTTATGGATGTATTTAAGATCTTCATAAATAATATAATAACACTTGCATTTATTGTCTGCTGAAAATCTCGTTTAGGCAAAAAATCATTTCAACGTATTCTGCGAAAAAAACAGTTGGCGTATAAATACCTAATTCGTTGTTCGAAAGAGACCACAACCAGAAAGTGAGAGTAGCCAAATACTGCATTCCATTTCGATGGCTCAACAGCCAGCCATAGTTCAATTCCCAGCCGACGTACTATCAGACTTCAACTTGTTTTATCAGACGGTATTAAGCCCAGAAAAGAAGGAAGATTAGGCATGGATTTAGCAACCCCAACCTGCAGAAACAGCACCGCCATCGCTAAAATATCCACTGGGAACCGTGTCACGGAACAAAAAATAATCAGTATCAATTTGGGGGCTAATTAAAAAAAACTACAGTTTTTTTATATTCTGAAAATGTATTCACTAGATATTCATATCTGTTTAGAAATAAATTTTGGTATCCTCATTATTATATAACCATATTTCTGTTATAATACATGTTGGGCATTTTTTTTTACTTTTTCCTTCCTTACTAGGTATAGTTGTTTCATTGCAAGCAAGTGCATGGTTTACAATCATTCCCGGTTTATTTGATGGAGTTATAGGTGGAGGTCTATTGTCAATACAAGCACAAGTTTCGGCGTCTCTTGTAGATGTTGTTAATAAAGAAAAACAAACTAATGGTGAAAGAAAGAAATCAGTGAATAATAAAGACAACCACGAGAAGGAATTATGGGGTTTATTTACATGGTTCGATGGAATTTCACTAATAAGCTTATCCTTATCAAACCCAATTGGAGGTAGATGAATTGTTTCAGTATTACATTTTTTTCTGAGTTTGAACTTAAGTTACAATTATTAACATCAGATGCGTAGTTTTTACGCATGAAATTCTACTAAACGGTGACTTAATTGCTTCTTAGTAAAGTTTTTTTTTAAATTTCAGTATGAAACGAAATTGGTTTCAGAGTATAACAGGCTTGGACATTTATATCACTGCTGAAAACTAACATGTACAAAGCCTAGGTTCAAAGTTCCATGTTTAATTGACTCGTTAACACACTATGGCGTTGTTAAATTTCAGACTATGAAAAATAAACTGATTTCTTATATGCATATGAATAAACAATTAAACGAAATTGTACATTTTGTTACTGATTAAAATTGTGTCTAGTTTTCAACTTACATAGTAACATTTAAGGTAAGGTATTTAAAAAAATTCATTTGGTTGGAATGTTTCAAATATATTATTAGTACTAGTATCAACATGCAGTAACGAGTCAGCATTTGTTGATGAAACTAACTTAAGACTTTAAAAATTTTGTGCTAGTTTCAAAGTGTTCGTTGTATTTTGCATACTTTATTCATTTCTCCTTTCAAAACAAGTGTTGAGAAAATGTATGCAACTGAACAAATATTTGTAACGCGTCACTCATACGAGTCAGATAAGAGAATAACTTGGATACATAGTTGATAATCCAGACATTATTTGTCTACATACAATTCAACAATCTTTTTGAGTATTGATTCATTGTATTGCCTTGATTTATTTTATAATGATCGGTTCACAAGCATTACTTCAATCTTACAAAATGAAGATATTTCGATTCTCTTAAAAGAAAACTTAGTCTATTTTGCTCTAAATGCAATCATCTGAAAACTCAGAGAAGAAATATGTCGAATAAAGTATAGTGCGCGCTAAAGGACCCATATTCTACAGAGCGAATCGTAGGTGTATTACTAAGCAACGTCATTTTCTCATGCTCCACCTTGCCAACCTAAGGTGACACACTTGACTTTGGCAAAACAATACAAAGACGTAAATTATCTGAGACGTATAGTGTACTTGCACAGAACATTACGGATACGATGAATTAAAAGAGCTGGTGATTGTCAAATGTCATCTAGGCAACTAATCACCAAATATGTATCACAGAAGGCATTATTTCTTTTTCAGTGATGAAATCATTGTCTTCACTGAATAATATATAGCAATATATAAGAAATGAAACAATCCTTTGGCAAGACGCTGTGCGGCAGGGAAAGTTAGTGTAGTCTTTCAAGTGCTAGTGGTGTACATGACCGATGATTCACAGGTAAGCTATAAGAATGTATTAAATACCCAGTCCAATCCCTGTAAGTCATTTGAAACAACAAAGATGTCTTGGAAAAAGCTTTACATTAGTAGTACACTTACTATAAAAATCTGTGCTTACAATTATCACAGGATCACATCTTAATACTAAGTGAATACAATATCTGAAAACTAAAACAAAACCTACTTTTATTTTTACTTCTAGGTGCTCTCCTTTATCGAGATGGATTCCGATCGCCTATTATTGTCTGCAATTGTCTTGTCGCTATTAGTTTGATACTTATTTTTTTTCTTCCCGAATCTAACACTAGAATAAGTCAAAAATGTTTGAGTCAGATTACGATGACAAGTGATATTAACTGCAAATCCAACTGTGAGCACGTTGAAGTTATTTTACCAAACAGCAAAAAAATGGTATATTGGAAAATGAAGTATGCAAGTGTTAGAGCTAACTTCAAAGCAAGTTCTTCAAATTATTTTAATTAACCATAACCTCATGAAAAAAACACTGCATTCATTGTTGCTTGTTTGAATAAAAAACTACTCAGTTCAGCTAAAGGTCGATGTTAAAATGAAGTGTTTTTTTATTGCCACGTTTGTGGACAGGGAATGAAGATAATTAAAAAGTAAATATTCACATTTTTGATATCTGAACTAACATCCTAGAGTTTTAGAAAGTGACATGACACCAGCTAATCGATGATATACACTAATCACATTATTCAAAACAGATCACAAGTAGATGTTAATTATGAATGCAGTCGTGAAAACAAGTTGCAATCTGTACTTCATTTATAAGCTATCTTTTATTCAATAATGGGTAATGCATATATATAATGCATATTCAGAATACATTTTCGCTTTGGTTTGGAAGTTTTAAATTCTTTACACATATGTACACCATGTTGCACTGATACACAGCTGAACTTTGGAGCTAATCCACAGAAATTAGAACATTCTAAGTTATCAAAAAATAGAGGAGAAAATGCACATCTTCCGGATCTTCAAATAAGCTTGAGATGGCAAGCACACGCCAGTGATGAAGAATGAGTAGTCACTTGTCTTCAGGTGTGATTGTAAAGAACAAAGTTTTCACAGGGAAATAACTCAGTAATCCTGTTTGCGTAATCTAAGTGATTCTATAATTCCGAATATATATATGTAGTTTTTTTTTTAATGGTGAGCGTCTCCCAAAACTAATATATATTCCTTTTTCTCCCATGACAATAAATATAGGTCCTATGTGACGGGTACACACAACACATTTTGGTTTTAATTATTGTGTTCCTGTTATCTGTTGTAATATCAACTGATCTGTACATTGTATACATCTACTTAATGGGCTATCCTTATCTATGGAATTCACAAGATGTTGGGATTTATTCGTGAGTTTTTACTGAAGATATAAATAAAACTCGAACGATTCTGTTTTGATGATCACTGATTACACGTGAATTACAAATAAATCAACAATAGCCATGATGTATATAATGATGCACTGATCTTATAGTATGATTACTTTTTCAGCAAAAGTATATATGTATTTCTGGTTGTAGCATATTTCACTATATAGGATTAAGGCCAATTATAGATTTTTCGGGAAACAAAAATATTCACATCAACGTGGCTTTTTCCACCTGAAATGGTTGGATTATTACTAAGTTACTAGTAAAAAGTTGCTAATTAAAAATATATATATATATATATCTTTCGGTTTTACTTTGTTGGTGATAATTAGGAGAAATCCTTCCTTTAGAGTTGGTTTTGAACTTCCTATTGATAGGTAAAGCAAAAGGAGATGCCTACAAATTACATTCCTTAATCCATAAGTTTGTATAAGCTAATGTAGGTTTAGTGAATGTTTAATTTCATAGAGCTAGAGTATTCATATTCACCAGGATTCCCGCCTGCATATTGGTGTTTTGTTCACCTGAAGATAGAAGAATAGTAGATTTATAACAGTAGTGATGTTGTAATCTGATTATGCAACAGAAAAACATTTTAGTAAGTCCTGATAGTCTGGGGTTAACACTCTCTTTCTGAATCTCTAGATGACAGAGTGACCTCATTAACCGTGCCATATATCATGATGTCTTATAATCAGCATTATTTAAACAAAGAAGGAAATTTCTGACAAAAATAATAACGTGCTTCTATCCTACATTGACTAACATGATAAACAATTTAGCATTTACATCAAATGAAACTACCTTTTTATTGCCTATTTCAGTGGTGTTACTGATGTGGTGTCTGCAATCGTTGCAATTATTTTCACAATTTCAGTAGCTAAAATAAAACGTGCAGCTGAATCAAGGTCAAACGACAAGGTGCTAGAAATATCAGTCGATGTGAAAAGTAACAACGTTGGTTCTGAGAAGAAGAAAACCAGTATCGTCAACTTATTATTAACAATACTCATTTGTAGTATATTCATGATATTGGTCAACAGATTTTTACTGGGTATATCACATATGTTTGTATCTTCCACAGCAAATATTTTAGTTTATGTGGGTGAGTATTTTTTGTTTCTTAACTTGCTTTCACTTAACAAAGTGAAGCATTTTCCTTATTATGGGTCTTTACTATGGATGGTTAAAACATGAACTGATCTGTGTTTCAAAAGTTTTTGAGTCACTGTGTTCTCTGATATCATTGTATTACTACCAATATTTTACATGTCTCGTGCTACTTCATTTGTGTGGAATGTAATCATCAAAGTAAACTACCTTAATCAGCTTAATTACCCTTTCGCTGCAGCTCATTTCACTACACGTTCCTATGGAAGTTGACATAATCTGTTGGGTTGAAGTGTGGAGTTTGTTGGTAAACTAGATCAAGTTTCACCGCTATACTGCCATTTAAATACCATAGTTCAGATAGTTCAATGTTTCTGTCTTAAGGCTATTTAAGTTTTATTTCTTGTTTATTCTATCCTATTACATTTTCCAACAAATATGAATTATTTTATTCACGTGCACTAGACATTTGAGTACTAAATTGTCTTTGTAAAAGACCATGTATGAGATGAAAACTGATGAGAATTTGTGTTGGGAATTGTATAATTTGCTGAATTTTCTTTTGAATAAGGTAAGGCAGTACTTAAGACTAGCTGTCGTATTCATTATGCCCTGACTTGATGGTAGTAATAAAAAGGCGCATTTGTGTAGCTCAGCTTTGTTTTTAGTAATTATTACCTACTTTTATTTGATGTAATAAGATAATGGGTTTTCTTGTCTATTTTCAAATGTAGCTACGGTACCCAGAATGGCTAAAGGGTTAACTAGTCCCATATTACGAACACTAATATCAATGTGGAGTGATCACGCGAAACAAGGCAAGTGCATTCTCCTACTATAATCTAAGATCCTCTATTTTAACTAATAACACGTCTATACTAAGTACTAAAAACCAAATGCGCTAATTTGTTAGCACTCAGACTGTTTCCATTAAACATCATGTAGTCAAATTCTTAATCTTGCTGATCACATGAGTTAATCTTGAATTATTTATGTATCAAAAATAGTACAATTGATATTAGAAATTAATGTGTCACTGGTAAAGTTTCTTTCGCATGAGAAAGCTTTATGTGCATTTTAGCGTAAGACAACTTCTAACATTATTTCCATAAATAGTAGTATTTGCTTTGTAAAATTGCATCTTTAATCAAAAACAAAGATTCGCATTTGCGCCTATACAATAACCTCCCATTCTTTGCGTCAAACAATCAATTTTTTGATACAAATTTGTGCAGATACATGAAACTGAGTGATTTATTGACTCATGTCACAATATCATGAAACATAACTGCGTTGTTTGAAAACTAGTCTGTGAAGGTGTTCACCAACTGTTTTGTGTGCAATACTGATAAAACAATTTCTACTGGAACATAAACTGTTTCTTTTTTATACTTTTACTCGTTTTGTCATGTTTCACTTCTAAAACATTCTTTATATGCTCGAATATTTATCTAGTTAATCGTGATGTATTGCTATGCGCTGTGTGAGATAAATTCGAGCAGTGTCGTAGAATATATTCCCATAATCTAAAAAAAACACTTATCAATATACTAAATTTTATTTTTTCTGAGTAGAATCATAATCTCTGGCACGATCATAAGCAATAAGTGAATAATATTGAATTACTGAGTGTTAAGCCAAATAAAAACGATTCTTGAATGGACACTAGTCAGTAACTAGTGTAATTTGTGTAAGTCTAGTCCTGTCTTTGGTGCAGACTAAATTCTATCAGTCAAGTTTGCAATGTAGACACCATGTTAGGTGGCTCGCCATCACGGTGCACTGTGAATTGTTAGTATTAGATGGTTGACTGTGATCGGCGGGAAGCCTTGCTTGATCTAGGTTTCGTGCTAGTTGGCACTCGTCAGCAAAGAGTATCAGAAACTTCGAAGGAGTTCATGTCCCTTATGAGATTTGACCGCTAGAATCCAGTCTGCACCAAAGGTAGGGTTAAACATACACACATTACACTAGTTACTGACTATTATCCAATCAGAAGTATCCAATACAGTCCTACAGGAGGTCAATCGTGAGCGTGAATAGCTCAGTGGCAACGTGTCTGACTGCAGCACTGGGTGACGCGACCTCGATTTTCAGAAAGGACATGAGTTCCTTCAAGACTGCAGATATGCTTTGCTGAATGGTGAGTGCCAACTAGCACGAAACCTTGGTCAAGCTGAGCTTCCTGCAGATTATCTTCAACCACCCACCACCAAAAACTATTCTGTTATGGAATTATATTTCCCTCTAATTGTTCTGTTAAAACATTCCCCGCGGTTTAGCAAATGACCTGTGGTTATCGGAGTACATTTTAAAACTCTTTTAATCTTTTTTAATGTCCTGCAGTAGTTCTGATTTGCAAGTTGTGTAGTGATTTCGTGGGAATATAAAGTGAATTTGATTTTCTTTGCTTTATTTTCATCTTGGTTTCATTAGGTTTGATGCATTCCTGTATTGCGTTTGTCTCAAGACTGGGAATACTTGTTTGTTTTGGTATACTGATATTCGTCTACTCGGCAACAACAAGTACACTGCCTGGCACTGTATTTTTTGTTTGCTGTGCTCTAATGGTTGCTGCATTGATAATTAATGGGTATGTTAACTGTAGAAATGTACTGTACGAAAATCAACGATATTTTGTTACAAATTCATCGTACCTACATTAAATGTACTCAATTTCAGAAATAGACCAACTTTATCGCCTAATTTTGCTCAAAAGTTATTTAAGTATATGTATTTACTGCTCATCCAAGCATATCAGAAAGTTTCTAGTACAAAATACATTAAAGTGAAGCATGAGAAATGTTTGATTTTCTGTAAGGATTTCAATCAGCAGGCTTGGTGATATCGAAAGCAGTAACCACACTCTGATGATGATTCTTTTTATTCCTTCAAGTTCCAAGTGGAACACAGGGCTTCAACCTAGAGACTTGAAGTTTCTGTAGCAGTGTTTATTTTTATAGGTTGGGTTGCTAGTCTCGTATTCAAACTTCCCTCTTTACCAGTCTTACTACTGGCTTAGCTAGGTAGAGGAGTGCGTCTGCCGGTGATCGAATCCCGGACCATGTGCATGGTCGGCAAGCGTCCTAACCTCTGTGCCACCGATGCGAAAAAGCGCTTCCGTGTCGGGAGTCAAATCCGGGCTGCCGGTGTGAAAGCTAGGAATCCTAACCGCTAGATGATTATATACTCATGACCAAATACCAAAGTTCAGAGGAAAGTAAACCATTTCCACTGCGATGATGATATGGAAATGTTTTCTGTAATCCCCATTAAGTGAAATGTGTACACACTTTATATATACACTAAATAATCAAAATCAATGTCATTCAATGTATTTTCTATTGAGTGACTAACAACAACATAATAACACGATTTTCACTTATCAGTTAGGTATTTAGATGCATAGGCTCTTTGTTATACACATGAGTTTCTGCCTTTAGCCAATTAGACTTAAAAATAAGAATTTCTGAATGAAAGAGTTCACAACATTCAAAATACCAGTTATTTTCTCAAAATTCGAGCATGTTTCAAGTAAAAAATGATGTTTTATTAAATTCAAATTGACTTTCAGGGAGAGTTTTGGTCTTAGCTTGTAATCCTAATTCTCTGCGTACATCTGCATCTATATATCTACAAATATAGTATCCTTTTATCGCGTCAATGGCACAGTGGTTAGGACTCTCGCCGACCATGTACATGGTCCAAGGTTCGATCCCCTGCCGACGCACACCTCATATCTATGGTCGGCCTGCAAAATTTGGGCTACCGATATCCATGCTGAAAATTCCATACTAGTACAAAAATACGGTGTGGAATCAAGCTGTAATCAAAAATAAAAAAAAATAAATCTCGCATTAAAGAATGGATGGCTTTTGACAGAATGTTAACTTCAATTTTGGATAAGTTTAGCTGTGTTATATAACCTTATCGTAGGTATTTACAGGTTTTTGATAAGTGTCGAATATTACACAGCCATATCTCCTGTATTACGTAAATACGACTAACGACTTTTGAACTTCATAGAATGCTTCGTATAATGCCTGGGCAAATACTCAGTCATTATTATTGTGGTGAGAGCAGGCTGCTAGCCGATTGGTTGGCACTAATCTACGTTAAGGTCTAGGTCACTAATATGGGCCGTGAGAAAATATGAACAAGCCTGAGTCAACAACCAATCACAGCAAAGTTAACGTGGCAAAATATGATTCGCAGAGAGAACTCTATTTGTCAAGGAATCCCGAAACAACCAATCAGAAGCCTGCGTTTGTCTAACTAAACAACCAATCAAATGACTGCGCTTGTCTATAATAATGTAGTTGAAAGATGTATAAATACGTGTTGATTTTCATAATAAAACGATCTGTTGCCTGGCCCTTGTCTTCTGTTGTTACATTATAACAAGGAAGGAATGAAGGAAATGAGTATAGAGCAATGAGTTGCCAGAGTGACCATTTTTATAAAACTACAGAATCTACAGAGGTTGAAATGCATGTCTATCGATTCAGTAAGAAAACACCTTGATGAAGTACTTTTCAATTTGTTTTTTTTTAATTTACACAACCTATACTGAACTCACCCATTCACATATTTTATCTATTGTCCAGGTTATTATTTTGTTCTGGCAGGAAGACTGGAGATCCTAACGACGTGTTTTAATTAATCTGATGATATAGACCACATTTATTATTTCCAGTAGTACAGAAACAAGTCATTTATCGGATATATAAATGCCATCAGCTTGAATAAGGTGCGTAGTAACAAATGACGTTTATCAGATGGTAATTGTCACAAACTTAATTCCATACTGATCAACTGCCTTTCGACGACACGTGTCAAGTATTCAACCTTATTTATTGAAAAAGACACTTTAAAAATCTCTAAAAATTTCCTTATTTTTGAGAATATTTGAGAATATTTGTTTGTTTTGAAAAAGCATGACACATTCAGCAAAATCATTTGAAACACACTCATTTCTTTTCTAGATATACTGCTCAAAAAAAAATCTAATTTATCTTTTAATGAACTCCAATTGATTATGCTAAAAAAGTTCAAATAAAAAAGTTCCCTATATTTTTTCATATTCCAAAAAATATATATTATTCTGTGCTTCATTGTGTCACATAAATAAGCTGATTATACTGATTATTTCGGCTTACTGATATTCTATTAAATTGAAAAAGTGTAAATAATTATTCTGACACTAGAAAATTAACATATGTTCATGTGAACAAAGCAAAAATAATAGTTCTTACAGAATAATATGCTACCATCATTTTTTTCTCTGGACTCTCATCAACTGCTTACTGCCTAAATGAATTACTAAGTTTATGTACAGAACAATTTTAACATACTTGTTAGATTATAGGAGGTTTCGAACTCAGTAAAAAGTGCTCGGAAAATTACGCTAATATAGTTTTTACACGGGTAAGTTTTTTAAGTTTAAACAAAGTAAATGTATGGATACAATGGTAAAGGAGTAACGCAATAAAGACGAGAGGTGAGTAAGATGGTGAGAAACCAATAAAGTGGATAAAAATAAACTGAGTTCAACTAAAATCATAGAAACAAGAGACTAGCAAAATTACACTACATCAGAGGGGGCAAGGTGATGAAGATTCTTGGCCAACACCAACAGCAGCAACAACAACAGACGACAGTCAACATAAATGGGAGGAACCTGAAAGAAATAACCTCCTTTACCTACCTACCTGGGAAACATCGCTGTTTCAACTACAGACGAACGGATCTGACGAGGATATCAAAGCGAGAATCATCGGAAAAGCAAGACAAGCTTTCATTACTCTCAAGTCTGTATGAAGGTCAACAGCCCTCATCATCAAAAATAAGATCCGGATTTTCAACTCCAATGTGAAGTCAGTGCTACTTTACGTATCAGAGACTTGCACTGTGCGTCATAAAGAGCATCTCAAACAAACTATAGACCTTCATCAACAGTTGTCTTCGCTCAATACTCAAGATCAGATGGCTGGCCAGGAAAGATCAGCAACAGGGAAGGATCTCTGGCAATGAGCGAACCAACACAGCAGGGAGAAATGGAGATGGATTGGCCACACACTGCGGAAACCATCAAGTGACACCACTAGACAAGCCATCGCTCGAGTGGAACCCGAAAAGGAAGCGGCGAGTTGGTCGTCAGTTCAAGGGTGACTTGGAGGAAGTCATATGAAGGAAGAGGAGATGAAAGTATGTCGACAGACTTGCAGATACATGTAAATTTGTATACACGGTCTATGAAATATTTAGGCAAAGAACATTATTTTACTTTTCTCGGAATAATCTAATCTAATAATTTGGTTGCACAAGTTGAGATGATAAGATGCTTTCTAAAATTTTCTGCAAACTACTCTAAGTATAGCACTCTGTGACCAGGAGATTAGAAACTTTTATGACGATTACGGCTGGTCTTTTTAAATATTTCTTAATTACTGTTCGGCCGGTATCGCTTTACTCATCTCCCGTCGAAGCTAGATCATGTATTCAAGTCTTAATTATGATTTTTTAGTAAATTCGATTGTTATCAAACAAATATGTGCCGGAAAAGAAGCGAAGCTATATACTACTTATATTTTTTTCTCCCGAGTAATTCACACCACACTCGGTTGACCCTTCAGTTTAAATTTTATGTACACACATTAGGAAAACCGTATGATTTCACACAATTTCGACATTTATATGTGCACCTGTATTTTCGTATATATTTTTTATTACTGTTGACCCTTAACTTGATATTTGTGAAAAAATTTGGTCAGACTTCGTCCAGGAATTATGCAAGTTAAACGCTACACTATACAGGGTTTCAACAGTGAGTTGTACATCAAAATTTTATCAGGGAAATTCAATTTCATTTCATTAGATATAGTAATACTTCAGTTAACTGACGTCTACGTTAAACTTCAAAGATGTGTTCTCAGTTGTCATGGCGTCTTCTTCGCCTTCTAATATATTCATGGAAAATGTTTACACTAAGTGAAGGATGCACAATGAAGCTATTATATGTATTTGTGAGGAAAAGATTATGTAGGTTTCTTCTCCGGATTACGGAAAGCCAACTGTAATCGAATTTTCCTGTGAATACACGTTTGAGTTACGCGTGAAATTCAAAACACTGGATTTGTCTAGAATACTATACTGTATTACATATAAAGTGATGAATGCAATGTACAAACATCAAATTTTGAGGTGTATAAAACTGAATGCCATCAAACACACCGTCGCTGCTCCTGATAAGGAATAACAGCATACCTGTCAAAGGTGATCAATGGTAAGCGCTAAACAACTTGCGAATATCCAGAAAAAAAAGATCAGAATAAACAATGTTCAACAGAGAGGTGAATATAACTAAAGCATGTACAGCAGATACCTTTTAACTATAAGAAGATATTCATCTGTCTATAAATAGAATCTTTATAGATTAAGTGAGATTAATTTCGACAGAAAACGATCCTATAATTACGAATTAACGATATAGGTAACAAAAAATAAATTCGTACTACTTTCTAGTAACGAGTACCATATAGCTAAACGCAACAGTAACAGTAACAAAGAATAAGGATGGAACTATTAGGGTTTTAAATCCCCTACTTTGCCCAGTAACTACTAGTCAGTAAATTTTTTGCAAAATAGAAGGATTCAAGTGATAAATTTTTCTTTCTACTCTAAAAGACATTTTATTCATGGAGTAAATAAATGCTGCTGTCACTGCACACTTGAAGAATTCATTGTGACCGCCAGTTATTCATCACATTCCTTAGAGAGATTATTTAGGTAGAAATGATATGATTGTAATTCTGAAGATTTCAATAAAGACTTGAATTATTAGGTACAGCAATTCTATATACTAAACAACGATCTTAATTCAAGTATATGGAGTACAATTTCTGTTCATTTAATCATTTCTGCTATGATGTGTAGCGTATTTCCACAAATAATTGAAAGATTTCACTTCTAGGAGTCAGTAAATTTCCAACTCATGAGTGACTCTTACAGCCTCCAGAAAATTAAACAGTTTTCATATAGTAACATAGCATTGGTTTTCCAAAAATCCAATAGAAAACAATTTAACACTATTTGTGAGATATAGAGGTGTGCTCAAACTTTTACTAGGTACATTAATTTTCTTCGTTGAACATAAGTCAAAATGGAAATTTTTTAGCGTGCATTCATATCAAGTGTTTTTATAAAGTTTCACTGAGAAAAATCAGTTCACTATATAAATCACAGAGTTAATGTTACTGGATAAATAGAGCATTTTCTAAGCCATGAGGTGAGAAATAGAAGAAGCTGTATGTTGAAATATTACTCCTACACTTATTAATTCTAATTTTCCATTATCATGAATATGTTAATGGGTAAATTGCTACGTTTGTGCAATATGTAGTGGTACTACTTACTATCTGTAAGTAGAACAGATGAAATGACTAAAAGGAATAAGAATATAGATGTTCAAATCTAGCTTATTGTTTAGTCGCCACATGTAAAAAAATCGTATACTTTTACTCATCGGCAAGCCACTTTTGACTTGATTGCTTTTACTGGTGTTCATGAATACAGCAGTGTATCGCAGTACTTTTTCAATAAACCGTTTACAGAATTACACTTTTGTTTGGTAGAAGCGTAATATTTTCAGTAATTACACCAGATTCTAACAATTATAAAATGAGATTTTTCACCCCTTTTACAGTGGTCTTGGATGAGGCATATACGCTATACATAGATATGCTTTAAATTGTAAAGAGACAGAATATACGGTGTAGATATTGACTTTTTATCAAAGCATCGCCGATGACTTCGAGTTTCTTCTCCATTCAATCTTTGGAGTAAACTGACCTAAATGATTAATACTTGAAGAAATTTCGCTCGTTGATATGAATCTAAGAAAATGTGTACACTGGGCTTATGTCTTTAGTGTTCGAAGCAGGTTTATTCTGCAGGATACACCTTCTCTTGTCGTTAGTGAAACTCCGAGTAAAGTAAAAAGAATTTTTGTTCACCTCTGTAGTTGTAATGAACCGTTGGAGCGCTTCAAAATGAAATTACCATATAGAGATGTTTGATTGTTGTAGACACTGTTCTGAAACAACTTTGTGGGGAATATTCATATTTATCAATATGTTTGGTCAGTTAACTTTGTTGTAAAATATGTATTTTGTACCTGTGAAACTTTTGGAATGGAAAGTCAACAGACAGTAGTGCTAAGGTAGTTTCTTATTTTTGATATAAGCTTTTATTAAATATAATAAAGGTTTTTGTATTTCCCAATGAATGAAAAACAAAATGATATTGCTTTTACTGACGTTTCGCTATTTAATGCTAATGGCTTTATCAAAGTATTATATAATAATAAGTATATATAATAATACTTTGAGAAAGCTATTAACACTAAATAGCGAAATGTCAGTAAAAGCAATATCATTTTCTTTTTTATTCATTGGGAAATACAAAAACCTTTATTATACTTTCTATAGTTTGGTTTGTAAGGATTAGTTATGTTTTACGAGTTGATCACGGATTGATATCAGTTAGAGAACCATTGAGAACCAGGGAGTACTGGACAGCTGCTGTTTCATCCTAGTTTGGGAATCATCGGCAGTACGCACCCACTGGGTTTCGAATTGGTAGAAGTTAGAATTCACGAGCCATTGAATCGGGTTCCAGTGGCTGAATGGTATACGAGCTTGCCTTGTAACCGGAAGGTCCTGGGTTCGAAACCCAGTGGGTGCGTACTGCCGATGATTCCCAAACTAGGATGAAACAGCAGCTGTCCAGTACTCCCTGGTTTTCAATGGTTCTCTAATTGATATCAATCCGTGATCAACTCGTAAAACATAACTAATCCTTACAAACCAAACTATAGAAAGTTAATCTGATGCTCGCTAGTGACTTGCTACAGGTTGGAGTTTCCTGAGTTCTAGTGAGAAGTCGTGACCAGTGAGGTCCAGTTAGATGTCACGTGTGTGGATGGATGTCCCACCAACGACAATGGTTGGGGTCGCGCTAAATCACGAATTGGTAGAAGTTAGAATTCACGAGCCATTGAATCGGGTTCCAGTGGCTGAATGGTATACGAGCTTGCCTTGTAACCGGAAGGTCCTGGGTTCGAAACCCAGTGGGTGCGTACTGCCGATGATTCTCAAACTAGGATGAAACAGCAGCTGTCCAGTACTCCCTGGTTTACAATGGTTCTCTAACTGATATCAATCCGTGATCAACTTTATTATACTGAATATCATATGCCCAATGCGCAAATTTTTTCAAACTGATGTAGGCTGTTATTCTTGAATAAAAAGTCAATCTCAACGAAGAATTAATATATATGTGTAAAAATATGGGCAATGTGTTAGTAGGTAATTCCATTTTAATTTGTAAAACAGCATTATTATTAACTGGATAATATTTCGAAAAAAATTTATT